AAATGAAATGATTCATAATTCTAGGACCTGTATGAAATTTAAAATGAAGTGTAAATAAAACGAATTGTAAATGTAAATAGACAAGACATCATTTTTGTGCAAGTGACTTTATTTTGGCCTCTGGCTTTGCCAGAAGTTATTTCCATCTGTGCTCTTCTGTGCCCTGCTGGAGGGAATTGTTATAAGCAGACACAGAGATCCCCTAAACAGCACAGCCCGTATCGTCCACTCGGAGTTGGTCAGGAATTAAGGCTGTGGATTTCTGGAAAAAAAAAAATGACTCAAAATATTTTCTTTGAGGCATTGAGTTTGATAAACTTTTGCTCAGTGAAAGGCAGCGTTCAAACCCCCTAAGCAGGTGCCAAGAGACAGGAAAGGCTAAACTTGGGGCACACCTGAAAGCCTTAAAATTTTGGGTGGAACCATCTTTCCTAGAGCCTCTGAGCTCCCTTTTCCAGGGCCAGAGCTTTGTGTTTGGAAGAGCTGTGTGGAAGTGCAGGTGTCTGTGGCTTTGGGCAGGCTGTGCAGCGTGGCTGGCCAGAGCTAGCATGTGTGGTCCTGGCATCTGGCATCCCTGCTGCATTCTCCCTGTTCCTCTGCAAGCAGAACAGCTGTACTCTCCCCGTATTTTCACAGGATGTGGTAAGCAGTATGTCTGTGTAATGAGTAACAAAGTTGAGTCAGTGTACATTCTCCCTGCAGTGTAATGTGGATGTTTTCAACCACTAAAATTCCTTTACGCATTAAAATGTTAAAAGGCTGAATTCTGTAAAACTTAACTACTCCTTAAATCTTACACCTTTCAGTGCATCGGTTCACCAGCCCGAAAAGCAAAAAGCAGACGGGGTTTGCCTCTAAGTCTTAATACTTGAACAAGTCGTTCATGTCTCTTTGCTTCTGGAATATTGCAAATGCTCGGCCCGCTTGTCCTTACAAATGTGTCAGGCTCTTACCCCAGGGGGGAGTTTCTGGTTTGTTCTTTCTGCACAGTTATTTTCTAATGATTTGTAGTAGATACTTTCAACTCTGAGTCTTAAAGCAAGTTGGTTAAGTTGTCAGAGAGAGGGAGAAAAAAAAAAAAAAAAAAAAGCCTAATTTGCTTTGGCCTGGCTTGCTCCTGACATGTTTATTCTAAAACAAGATGATTAGCATAGCAAAACATGTTCCCAGAGTATGTGAATGTGCACTTCCATTGAGAGGGATTTGCTGGCTGGCTGCTTGTGGCAGCCAATATTCTTGTCTAGGTTTTAATTTGTTTGTTTGGATGTTTGATGTGTTGTTAGGGGTTATAGGATTGAAAAGCTTCCAAAAGTCTTACCCAGCCTCTCAAAATATCACTCCAGAAAAATACATGTTTACTTTTGGAAAATAGATGTTCTCCCTAGGAAATAGGTGCTTATCTGTATTTTTGGCGGGGGTGTGAAATCTGGGTATCCAGTCAAAACTTTCAGCTATCGCTCGCTTGGCCAAGCCGACAAAAATCATTTTTGACATGTTTCAAATACAGCGGCATTTTGCGCTATTGTTTCTGACAAAATCGTAGCTTGAAAAGAATATATTAATTTTTGAAACCCGGGTTGTTTCTTGCAACCAAAATGGCTGCTGTCCGGTGCTGCCAGTTACATCACACACGCACACAGAAGTTAGGATGGCAGCGGGTTTCCTGCAGCAACCCCCTGCCTTGTTACGCACATTATATGAAGTGCTGCTAAAACAGCTAACTTCTTCTTTTCAAAAGAATAAAATGCTCTGAGGTGTACTCCACTGTGAACTCTTGTTATTAAATATCACTCTCGCCGAGAGAATAAATTTCCTTGTATTATCAAAAGACGACCCCGAAGAAGAATGGGGTGGGGGGAGGAAGAGAATAATGTTTCCTTCAGCATCTTCCAGTGAACTGCTGCAGATGAAGCTCAGGTGAATCCGCCGCAGTCCCAGGCTGGGGGGGAGGCTCTGCTTTCACACACACGGCTTGTGGTTGGCTTCAAGGCAGCTGCAGTGAGAACAGAGCTTAGGCCTAAGGCTGTGCATGTTCTTTTTACTCTCAGTAAAGTGATGGAAAGGGGCCACCAGGCTTGGTGAGCTGCTGAAATAACGTGAAATGGACAAAATAAGTTACTTCTTTTTTTTTCTTTTTTTTTTTTTTTAAAGTGAGGATGGGAGAGTGGAAAACATTATTAACTCCAGAAGAATATGGCAGTAGAAACTGGTTTTGCAATATGAATCTTGAAGCAACCAAGTCAGGATTAAAGAAATTAAGAGCGGGGAGGGTGTAAGGCTGTTGAGAGAAGGACGAGTAGCCATGTCCGGAGTGGGCTGTTCTGCTAAGGTTATAATCTAAAATGTCCGCAAGTTGTTTGGTCCACAAATGCTGTACGATGTATTTTATACTTGCCCCTCAGATCCTCAAGATCCTGTGATTTGTTAGGCATCAGTCTAGCTAAAAACTTCAATCTACATTTGATTTTGATGAGGTGCTCATTAGTTCAGTCGCTCATCTCCATCCTGCATGCTTTGTGGCTAATGGCTTTGATGACGATGACACTAAATCATGCACTTCAAGTTTAGCATTTCTTAGCTGTTTTTCTATAACTAATCCTGAAACTTTCTTCTTAAGAATCTTACATATAGACAAGGGTCTGTCTTTTGAGATTGTGGAAATCAGTCTGTGAAAAAGTAAAAAGTCTGCTTTGTGCCATGATCCATCCTCCTGCGGTCTCCAAAGGAGAAGCACAGCACCTTTCACATCTGCCTCCAGTCTCTGCTCATTGGCATCTACAGTATACAAAGATATTTTTGACCCTGAGTTTGTGCATTTCTAGAAGTGCAGGGCTGTAAGAAAAGTGAACAAGGAAATTTTCTTGTCAAGCTGAAATGCCAAAAGAAATGCCTGTAATTGAGAGAGTTCAAGAAAACAAGGTAATCATTACGTTTTAGTAACAAAGCGTTGTTGGAGGCAAGGGGGCTGCAGAAAAGTCGGTTACTCTGGAAAACTTAAATAAAAGGTTTCTACAGCCCCAGCATAAAAGAGTACATCTGCAGAGTTGTATTTGGGGGTTCCAAGCCAAGCAACCACCCATCTGCAACATTTAGCATCTGGTATAATGGTAACTCTGCAAGGCAGAACGCATCTGAAAGAGGGAAAGCTGCTCTGTGCGTTCTTCAAAATAAGAAAATTTAGTCTTAAATACTAGGCTTCTATTTTCATAGTTTATGATATGATTGGATTCCTTCTGTGGACACAAGCTTCTTAGTAGTACTAGTCATCACTGTGACAAAGGTTAGACTGGAAGAAAACTAGAACTGAAATGAAAGAATAGAATTTTTATTATTTTAGCAGCTGAATGTGTCATTACATCAGAGTCAGTATTGTGTAGCAAATTGCAAGCTGTAGTGAAATTGCTTTAAAAAATATCTGTATATATTTTTCTAAAACCGTGATGAAGTCATTCAGCGGCACATTGAAATGTATTTCTAGCTGAACTGTTATATCTTTTTTTACTGTGGTAGGAGAACAGATGGCAGTTATTTTTTTAACAGTCTCCAGCAAAGCTGATGCAATGCCTTGCCTTCCCTTGTAAGTGCTTTCAAGTGAAAGACAAGTAGACATGACCAAAATGAATCTGCATTGTAACATTGACTTGTGGTTTCTAAAGCAAACTTTTAATCAGCTTACAACAGTAGGCTGGTGATAATTACTTAATGTCCTATCAGCCAAGTAGGTCATTATGACAGGAAAATGAGCTATTAATCAGAATCAATTGCACATGTTTTGCAATAAGTTTCTGGAGCAGATGTCTTTTTCATAGACATTTTTAATGCAATAATTGAGTAGTCCATGACTTGAGGACAACTGCAGTCACTCCCATGGTACAAATGCATTTGTAGATTTGGAGATGCTCTCTGTCACTTTATAGCATTCCTAGGGGGACTGTGATTGATCCGGGAACAGCTGTTCAGTAGCTGGCATGTAGAGAGGGCTACTGCATGTACAATGGCAAAGATGTTTGGTGATTGTGTACATTGTTATAAACATAATGTTTTTCAAAGGATTTTGTTTTAGACTTGTTGCTATCTTAACAGAAACTTGGCAACTCAGAGAAGGCCTGGTGAAATACAGCCTGATGTAATGATACTTGCCTGCTTCACCAGAAACGCTGTGTAGTTAGTTCAACAAAATGCTGTATTCTGAAGTCATTTGTAGTTATAAATCAAAATGAAGCTGCCAAATATTGTAAATCTAGGACTGCCTACCAATGTATGACTTTTTAGATCACCTGATATGATGCGCCACATCACAGAAGCATTGTTAGGAGCTAGATTTAATTTACTTGCTTTAAATTAATACTGTGTTGAAAATCCAGCTTTGCCTTATTCAGAGAAGCTTCCATTCTTCTGTTTTATACAAGCACATTCAAAAAAAACCTGGTGTCTCTTTGTGGGAGCGTCAGCTCTGCACAGCTGTGGGAGATTCAATGTGTTACTGGTAAATGATGAAGAGGCAAGTCCGTGTTGGCCTGTCAGCCCTGCACAGCTGTGGGAGATTCAGCCCTGAAGAGCCAAACTGACATCAGCTGGTCAGCTCTGCTCCCTGAGCTCTGCTTTGCACAGGCTCCGAGAAGGGCTGCTCAGTCCTGCGCTGGCTCAGAGCAGTGCCGGCTCTGCTCTGCATAGACCTGGAGAAGAGCTTTGAGGAGAAACAGGCCTTGGAAGAGAGATAAGAAACTGCCAGGCTGTGCTAAGGTGGATGGAACTGTTTGTGGGAGGGAGGGTTGATGACTGTCTAGTTGCTGATTTGCTTATTACAAAGTAAGAGCTTCAGTGAGACTATAAGTATGTATTACTGTATATGTATTAACGTAAGAAGAAAAAAAGAGTTTAGAGAAAATAAACAGCCCCTGCCCTGTTGAAAGAAAGAAGAACATGGTCACGTGTGAATTATTTTGGCTGCTACAACTTAGTAAGACTTATTTAAATTGAATCCATCTCTTACTTTACAGCCTTCGACAAAAGAAAGGAAACTTGGCTCAGAAGCACTGGGCTGGCCCAGCTAACATTGCAAAGTGCAAGCCTTGCCCAATGACACATGCCAGCGCCGTCTGTGGGTCTGATGGACATACATACACTACCAAGGTAAGTTCTGCTTGTCACCTGAAATCCTGTCAGCAGTGGTCATCCAGGCTGCAGTATGAAGATGAAAGAGCCTTCATCAGTGTTAAATTACCGACTAGTTTTGGTATATTGTGTATTTTGTGTAAGAAATGATGATAAATGTAGATATTTTTTTTTTACATATTTGACAAACAGCAAGTCAGAATGACAAATCAGAATCTTATGACTTTCATGATTCATGTTTCTCTAAATAGCTCGTTCTTGCTAATGAAGTAGAACACTTTCAATATTGATGATGCAAGAGAAAAAAATTCATTTGATCAGATTGGCTTGTTCAGACAAGAGGATTTTGAGATCTCATTTTTAAGTTTGGGTCTTCAGACAGTAAAATAACTTGACAGTGTCATTCTGTTACAGATTTTTTAAAATTAATTAATTACTTTGTTTCCAGGCTGCTTGGGTAACATAATCCATTTAAACCACAGGTTTACTAGGTTTGTCTGTGAGATGCAACATATATGGTACCATTTAAAAAAAAAAAAATAAAAAAAATCCCATAATGTAGTGGGGATAAATTGGCTCATTGTTATATTGAAAATATGATCACCTTTGGGCTTGACTCATTAAAAAACCTGATTTCACAGCCATTCAGCAGTCCAGATCTCTCATTATCAAATAAAAACTTCCATGTCTCAGATACCTGTTCTATAAGCAGCACATCAGGCTCTGGAAGTTACGTTTAGGGAATATTCCTAAGGTTTTTTCTCTTCCTGCATGCAAGGTATTGACGTCCAGTAAAAGTACCTTTTAAAATCCAAAAATAGCCCCCAGAAATCCAGGGAAATAAAGTCATTGGGGAAAAAGTTCTCTTCTGTAGTGTAACAGTGATGATGATACTGCAGCTACATCATCTTCTCAGCTGGGCAGCTTGAGTTTTTCATCCATTAATGAACACAAATCTTAAAATGCTGCCATGGCTAATTCATTTAAGCCTCTCTACTATTGTCGCTGAAGGATTTGCATGGCCAAGGGAGAAAATCAGCAGAAACTCTCTAATCTTTGCACAGATAGTCTGCAGAAAAAGGGCTCCAAGTTGACTGTTAAACAAGCTCCTCTTTAATACTTGCTAGGAGTATGTAATGGGGTAATTTAGCATTGGTATTTAGGATTAGAACTGGGCTCATTTTGAAAACAACTTTTTCTGTCCGAGAAGATAACTCTGTAGTAAAAAGCTTTCATTGCATATTCTGTCATCCTGTTGAACTAATTTCTGTGCATCTCACCTGCATCCCTGTTAGCTCTGAGTCTTTTTTTTTTTCACTCTGTATTTCTTACCGTAAGATCCAAATGGTTTTCATCAGAAATTCTGCCAATGTTTTAAACTCACCAAACTGTTGTGACTGTGATGTAAGCCTGATGGCTATAATGAAGGCATCAAACATTCCTGTTGCTGATGTGCCCGACTATCAGACATACATCCCAGAAGTTGCCTCTCTTCAAGTGGTATTATTTTTTTTTTAAAAAGGGCTTTAAATGATTTATTCTGAAGCCACTTAGACTTATCTTCATTTCTTGTGCATTTAACTGTCGATTGCTCCTGTCCTAGCAATTGAAAATTACAGCATCTTGTTGGTCTCTCAAGTAGAGCAACTTGTTTTCCACAAATTTTGTCCATGTTCTTTACCACTGCCTGGGGAAGGTCGAGTTTCAGTGCTTTTTGAGTCCTGTTCTACAGGAGCAATTGCTTGTCACATTGCATATTTGTAGTTGATTTTTCTAGGGTTGGGTTTTTGGTTGGGTGGTTTTTTTTTTTTTTTACTGAAGGCTCCTCCAGTGTCATGCTGATTGGTAATCTTTCTGTAATATCCAATCCTCGTGGATACACATTTGCTTAGCCTTTACTCAGTATCAAGGCAGTACTATTGTTCTTTGCTGTATAAGTATGTTGTAAATCTGTATGTTATTACAGTAACCTCTAGAACATCATTGTCTCTCTACAGTTTCTTCTAAAAACTCTGCTTCATTGATGTTTTTAATTTTTTTTCTTTTTTTAAAAAAGACAAATTTTGGTAAATGAACTGGAAATACTTTAGGCAGAGCATTAAAACTAAACGGTATGTTTTAATCTCCTAACAAGTAACTTTTTTTATGGTCAGTAATGATCATGGATTTCTGGTGCTTTTATGAACAAAATACAACTACTTCCCTCAAATTCACCATTAGTTTTCACCAGATAATGTGATCCTTCTTTCTTGCCCCTAAGTCACTAAGATCAAAGCTTTTCTTTGGCAATTTTCTTTCAGGTGCAGTGCTGTTGGGAAGTGTTATTTTTGGCGCTGCAGTGCCGGCATGTTCTAGTATTGACTGCGAAAATGTAGAAAGGTGGATATTTGAGTGTGGGCAAATACCACACTACTTTGTGTGTGTATGTGTTCATACCTGGCTCTGCATCAGCTGCTTGGTGGATGTGTAATGACATGCTGGACAAAATAGAGGGTTCTTGCCAAGCTTGTCAACCAAAGATGGAGAGTAACCATTTCAGGGGAAAGAAGTCCTCTGGAGTTGTGTATCAGCCATCCACTCACATGGGCAAACAGGCAGCATAGGCCCAGTTTGATTTTTGCCTTTTCCTGCCAGTTCATCAGGGGATTAGGTGGGAGGCAGGGTTTGTGCCTCGATTTCATGGCCTGGCAGAGCCAGCATCAAAGGGTTTCACTAACGACGGGCGTTACCGTTCCACACCATCAGTAATGGTTGTACTGGGGATTGCTCTTTCCATACTCTATAAACTGTTAGCTGAGGTAAAAATGAATGAAAAGGAAAGGATACAACAAAAGTATGACTGACTGATAAAATGCAGACGAAACTTGGACGTCAATAAATGCAGAATAATTCCCATGAAAAGAAAACAACCAGATATACCCATCGCAGGCTCTCATTTAGCCACTTAATCTCAGAATAATTCTGGCTGTTTCTCGGAAGACATTGTAATGATCACTGCCAGGCAAAAATGCAAATAACGTATTAAAAAAAGGAATTGAGAACAAGCACAAACCATTATTATGTTTCTCTGTAAATGCCCGGATTTCTCATTGCCTTCATTTATCAGCACTTCATCTCCAAATTGACATGGTAGAACTACAGAATGCTCAGAGAAGGGCAGTAATGCCTGTCAGAGGTGTGGAACCTGCAACGAAGCACAGAATTAACTAGAACACTTCAGCGTGATTTGACATGAAGTCATGCCTAATATTGGAAAAGGAATGTACTTCATAATACAAGACCTAAATGAAATTATAATTCAGGTTTCAAAACAAAGAAAGTATTGTTATTTTTTTCAGCTCAAAATAAAATTTTGAAATGCACTGCAGCACAGGATTGTGCAGGCCAAAGGTATAAATGGGATTTGTATAAATCCATGAGGAATGGATCCACTGTGGGCTGGTAAACCTCCAGCATGCCAAGTCCCTCATCCGGTGATGACCAGAAGCTGGGATGATTGGTGTAGTTCAGCTGGACTGATTTGTTCTGTTTCTAATCTGCTTTTTCTTGTATTCCTTTGTAGTTTTCTTTCTTCTAAGGGTCTGCAGCTTGGCAGGGTACTAGGCTGAGGGATCAGAGGACTCAACTAATGTGATTCTTGGTTTCTTATGCAAAAGTGGAGGCATCCATCTCTTTAGATAAAGCAAGCTGATAATGGAGCTAGCATACTTCACCAAAAGTACTTCTCTAAGAAAGGAGCATATTGCTTTTCCATTTCAACTTTGACTTCATTTGAAATTTCTCTTTAAACAGGTCCTAATTATTCCTTGCATCACTGCTTGGCATTTTTAGTTTCTACCCCTTCAAAGTTTAGTTTCAGACATGAAAGTAAAAATGACTGCAGAACTTGATCTGGAATGATGTTCAACAGAGCTTGAGGAATGTGGAGGACTTTGATTTGTTCTTTTTTTATGAAAACTTCAAGAAATCTTTAAGGATTCAATTTCAGAAAAGTAACATAAAGTGCATTTTTAGTTGTTGTTCTTTTAAATGATGTCTTAGTCATTCCTGACTGGATAATAAAAAGTTCTACTCCTCAAAGCTATATGGCAAAATAGCAAAAGCATTATCATCTTGCTGGTTTGCACTGCTTGATAATCCTCAGACTGTTACACTCTTTGTTCTAGTGCTTTCTGTGGAGATTACATTTTGAAAGAAATAATTTTGCTTCTGTTAATTATAGTGCTGGTGATTCTGGGAACTGACTGTGCTCATCCACCTCAATTATAAGGGATTAGGATTCTCTGAGAACAGCCATTTGCGAGGCAGCAGAGGAAATGTTATTGGCCCAGCAGGAACACGGGCTATGTGGCATATTCTTGAGGGCTCTTACTGCAATGTGGGGTTATTCCTGGATGTTATTCTAGAGGTGATCAGTAACTGATGCTGTGAGTAATAATACAGTGAAACAGAATCATGGATCCTTGCTCATGTTCATGTTGGGTTAACAGCAGGTCCAAGCATCCTCAGTAAGGTTTTTCTGACTGAATGGCTTTTCCTCAAAAGCAACTTTATTTTTTAATGAGTGAAACTTTCTTCATGAAGAAAGACATGCCTAGAGGCAGGAATTCCTTGATAAAATTCGGGGAAGTGATCCAACCCAAAGAACTCAATAATACAAGGGTCACAAAAAAAAAAAATAAACTACCACATGTAAGCTTACTGGTTTAGAGAGGGGCCCAGGATTTTGAACTCGGTCTCTCAGTTCCACAAAATACATAGAAGCCTTCTCAACTAATTTATTGAGGGCTTGTCAAAGGAATCTTTTTATCTCTTTCATATTCCATTGGAAAATATTCAAAGGTGTTAGTTTCCAGTGGAAAACAGGAAAATGTTAAAAAGTATGAGAAGTCCATGGCAATCTTGTGCTAAAAGGGATTTTAAAGTGTCACACTACCACAATAGGAGACACAAGGTGCTGAGTACTTTGATGGATCTTAAGTTGATTTAGCTTCATATGTGGGAGTTGTACTGCTTGG